AGGATCTATTTCAGCGAGCTTTTCATACAGGGAACTCCTTAGTCTAAGAGTGTTACAATTTTTTTTTTTGAGTGTTACAATTTTTAAAACTACATTTGTTGTAGCAGTCATAATTCATTAAGAGTTACATTTTTCATAAAGCATCACTGTAACAGTCCCTTCAGGTTTCTCTGGTAGCTCAGTGGTAAAGAATCTGCCTGCCAATGAAGGAGCTGTGAGTTCGCTCCCCTGGTCAGGAAGATCCTCTGAAGAAAATGGCAACTCACTCCCAGTATTCTTGCCTGGGAAATCCCATGGACAGAGGAGCCCGCAGGGCTACAGTCCATGGGGTCACAAGGAGTCGGGACCCAACTTAGAGACTGAACAATAGTCCTTTTATTTTCCAGTCCTTGAAAAAAGTATCAAAAGATATCAAAGTGCTAAGAAAACCAAATTCAGATTGCCCCCTCCCCTCTCAGACCCCTTGCAGGGGTCAGCCTCCACTTGGCACTTCTGAGCTGACTGGGATTGTACTAGGGAAAGAAGGCAGTGTAGTTCAAATGGAAGAAGCAGTGTGAGGTGCTGCACAGACAGAAACATAGCATGAATCTCCCCAAATAGCTTTCTTTGTGAGGAAGTATCAACTCAAAGAGCTCGAGGAGACCAAAGGGGAAGCCAATACACATGAGGAACAATTTAAATCCCAGGCCCGCAGGAGCCCATCAGCGGGGCTGTGAGGTCCATGCCTCCCTCTGAGGTGCAGGTCAGCAGGGACCCGGCCACGGTGATTATCCACGAATGCGGTAGGCAGGTGTCCACAGTGGTACCTGCCGGACCTGCCGAGGGATGGCCCATGTGTCCTTCCCTCTGGGCTGTCCCCTGCCAAAACGTTCCACAGTGAAACCCAGCAACCACAAGGAGAGTACTCCTAGCGAGGTGACAGGTGCGAGTGAGCACAGAATACTCTGGGACCATTCAGCGAGGAGCCTCTGGGTGGGAGACGTGACTGGGCCTCAGGCAGGTGAAGATGGCCAGGAATGGGCAGAGTGACTGGAAGGATTTCTGAGGACTGGGGAGGAGTGTTATCGAGGACTAGTAGTGATACCTTTCCCAGGTATTTAATCCTTGGGCCAGCTGCCCTGGCCACCTGTGAGCCTCAGTGAGGTCCATTCCTGTCCTCCCTTCAGCCGTGGATGCCTCCTGGCTGAGTTCCTATCATCTGCTTCCCAAGTGTGTTCTCTGCATTGTGTCGAATCACTCACACATCCAGTGGCCAGCAACTCTGCCTGGGGACGGTGGCCCAAAGGCATCTTCAGAAGTGCCCCTAAAAGGGAGCACTCAAGGCCACCTGGGCATCCTCTCGGGGCACAGGGATGAGAGCAACACAAGGGCCTTGATACAGCAAGGCTGGCAGGATGGTCCTATCCCTGTGCATTAAAAGCATGGCCCAAGAGAACTGCAGACACATGCCAAAGTAAATGCACAGGTGCATCCACAGGAGCACTACTCACAAGAGCCACAAGGGGGCAGCAGCCCAAAGCCCATCAATGGTGACAGGGTAAAATGTGGTCCATCCATCATCCAACAGACTATTTAGCCATAAAAAAGAAATGAAGCAATGATACCTGCTCTCGTGTAGAAAAATCTTGAAGACATGAAGCTGAGTGAAAGGAGCCAGACACAAAAGGACATGTTACACTATTCCATTTATGTGAAATGCCCAGATCAATCAAATCCATAGCGACTGAAAGCAGATTAGTGGTTGTCAGAGACTGGGGAAAGAGAATGGGAATGACTGCTAATGTAGATGCGGGTCTCCTTTTGTGGTGATAAAAATGTTCTGGAACTAGACAGAGGTGCTGATTGTACACAGTAAATGTACTGAATGCCACTGAATTGTAGACATTAAATTTTACATGACTTTCACCTCACAAAGGAAAAACAAAAAACCCCAGGCATATGAAGGCTGACCCGTGTGTTTTCTAAGACCACAGGAAACAGGACAGTGGGAATGCAAAGAAGTCTGGTCTGTGGCAAGAGCCAGGAACAGGCAGGGCTGCGGGCTGAGGAACATCATCATTAGAGGGGAAGGAGATGCAGGTATCCACCAGGTCCTCCGTCCAGGGTCTGGGGCTCTGCATCTCCATGCCCTGTAGCTTACAGCAGAAGGCCCTGGGGCCCCGCGGGCTGGCTGTGGAAGCTTCAGAGTCTTCACTAGGGCACATGTGAGGGGCGCACACACAACAAAGACGCAGTGAGTGACGGCTCCTGCAAGTTATTTTACTTTGAATACATAGGAAATGAAATCTACAAACAAGATGCTATGTTCTATGGCTCTTAGGAAATGAAATCTACAAACAAGATGCTATGTTCTATGGCTCTTTTAAACAATGCTTTGTATTTACAAAAAAATTTTTTTTCGTGATTAAAAGCACCAGCTGAAAATACAGGCGGCTAAAAACTTAAGACACTGAAAATCCATTAAAAGACAGTATGCCAAACATACATTAAAAAACCCTCTAAGGAAACAAAGATGATGCAACCAACACATTTCACCCACTGTGCCAGACAGCCCTTTTGGATTTCCCTGCCTGTGTTCCCAATAAGTGGGATGGGGAGTGCTTACCCCAGGGGGAGGACCCTGGCCTCCCCCATGGGTGACTGTGGGGGTCCAACTATGTGTCTGAGAGGGAACCGACACCTCCTGGACCTCAGGACTGGCATCCTCAGAACCGTAGGACCTGAGGGCCACCACCACTGACAGGATGAAGCGGGAGGCACACAAAAGGGAGTCTGACAGCTTTCAACAATTAACCTGCAAGAGCAATCTTTCTGCTACTCCCTCACACCCCACGTGTGCTTAAGGGTTTGGAGTTGTTTTTTCTGAACACCCAGCTATATGACACTGGCTTTAATGTATCTCTGGGGCTTGTGTGCAGTGTGTCTTAAATTCTTACGATTGAGAAACTGTGAGGCACTGAATTTGGACTTACAGGAGGGTATTTACAACAGCTTTATGTAGCTAAAAGGTGCTGCAATGAAGGGGAAGTTCAAAGCTTGCACGCATGCATGTACATGCAGGTTGGCTTCCATAAAGCTAGAGCGGAATATTAAATATCAAGTACTGAATTTTTAACTGTAAACTTAACAACTTACCCTTAACTTTACACATACATAGATAACAGAGTGGTCACTAAAAGCACTTCAACATCAGGACAAGACGTTAAGTTCTGAGGTTCTTATTTCAACTGCTCTACATACAAAATGCCCTAGAAGCAAAGAAAGGTTTAAATAAATACTCAAACAACGTAAAGCAGGACTGAAGAAATGTGGGTCTGGAGAGGCTGCACAGTGTGGAGTCCAGGCTAGCAGGTGCAACTTGTATCGACAGGTGCTCTGTCCCTTTGGTGGAAGAGGACCTGTGCGGGGGGGATCCTCAAAGGGGGAGGGAGACAGGATGGTGACAGCTCATGAACAGGCAGCAGACCACCTCTGCAGGCCTCAGAGACCCAGGGGCAGCCCCAAGGAGCACGGAACAGGGCTGGACTCTCAAGTGACCCAGGAACAAAACTTGGCCAGCCTGTCCTTTCAACCAGCCTGTCCCTTCCTTCAGTAGCTCACTTGCATGCCTGTTGCTGGCCCCCAGAGGGCAGCAGGGCCTTGATGTGGGCAGTGACCCAGAACAAGGAGGTCTGCTGAGAGCCCTGCTAGTGGCTAAGGCACACTCAGGCCTTGGGGCCCAAGTGGCTGACCTGAGCAATCCCAACATTCCTTTCGTCACAGACACTGAGGCTTTGAGAAACAGCTTTCACAGTGTTAGGGAACAAGACTTGAACCAACAAGCAGCCATAACTAGCAAAACCGCACACCACCCTCATCAGGGAGATCCTCCCAGGCACTGGAAGCCAAATGGGGCCGGGCTGCTGCCGCGACGGCCCCCAATGTCACCGTTACCCAGGGCATCTCCTCGACTATTCAAGAGGAGCACAGAACCAAAAATGGCTGCCTGGGCCTGGCAGAGCCTCCTGGGGTCCAGCTCAGGAAGAGGTTACAATGCTGTCCCGAGACCCAAGGCAGGTAGGTCTTCTCCTCCTCCCTTCTAAAAACAGGGCAGGGTACAAAGGAAATGGCTGCTGCAAGGTGGTAGAGCTGAGCTGGGATGAGAAAGGCCCCTCCCGCCCTGCACTATGATCTCTGACAGGCAGAAGGCGGCTGAAACGAACACAGGAGTCTCAGCTCCAGGCACCAGCTCTGGCTGGGAAGCAACACACAGGCACACACGTAGATCAACCCCAGCAGGTGCGCTCCCACAGCTGGACAGTGAATCCAGTCAAGGTGCAGATGTTCAGAAGTCAAGTTCCGGGGTCCCCCAGGAGCCCTAGCTAGAGGCCCCAGCTGCCAAAAGGATGGATGCTGAACAGAAAGGCAAGTCAGGAAAAGCACTGGGGTGAGACAAGCATTTCCATCCCTGACAGGCACCATCACTTCTTCCCTCTAATTGTGGGTCAGAAACTGGCATCTTGCCTCTGGGCGCAGGAAGCTGCCATGAGCAGAGGAAACACTCTGGCCCAGCACAGAGGCCTGTGGAAGTCATGTGGTACCTCGGTGGCACCAACCACCCGTGCATGCAGGGTCAGGACCTGGATGACAGCCAACACCCCCTTCCCTACCAAGACACTCTCTTGAAGATATGACTCAGGCATGGAAGCAGGACTGGCAGTTCAAATCCACTTTGAAGGATGGCTCTGCAAAGTCGGCTCCAACATCCCAATGGCAAGCCACAGCACTTGGACTCCTGGTACCTGGCAAGAATGGCCAGTTGGCCCTTCCTGGGAGGACAGGAATCAGCCCTCCACGCTCCCCAGGGACCTTGGTGCTCTGGAGACAGTCGGGAAAGAAGCCTGAAGACAGCCATGCCAGCACGTCTCCAAGGAAAGCTCAAGTGCCATCTGGGTGGAAGTCAGGGACACACCAGGCCCCCACAGAGGTGTGGAGAAGCTGAGAGGCCCCGTCCAGGGGTCTCACAGGAGGCTGGCCAGGCTGGTGTTTGGTCCATTCTGAGCTTGGAACTGCACAGGGGGTGGGCCGTCTGTCCACTGCGGGGAAAGAGAACACACAGGTGAGGTCCTTCCCAGTGAGGAGCAGGGGGTTGCTGGGCCACATGTCTGTGCCTGGAATGTTGCCCTGCTCAGGCTGGTCAGGGCCCCCAGGAAGCAGCCTGCATCACCCACTTGGGTTGGAGCTCTCCCGCCCATCCAAGGGGGCTCCTGAGGCCAGGCTGGGTTAGGGTTTGTTGGAGAGATGCAAGGAGACAGTAGCCAAGGGTACACTTCATTCCTCAGGAACCGCATCCCCTGGGGGCTGCTGGTCAGGTGAGCTGGCCCCAAGGAGCCATCCAGCACCCTCACTTTGTCTCCCCTACCCTGGGCCCATACCGTGATGAGGTTGTGCTCAGGGAGGCTGCAGGCCTCGATGTGGTCTTGAAGTAGCTGCTGCGAGAAGTTCTGGTGCATCTGGGCGGCTTCGTGGGCATCCATGGCATTCCCACAGGCTTTATTCAGGTCTGGGGGTGGGGGGGGTGGGGGGGGTACATGCAAAGGATGGGCCTGTTTTGGCTTGCCACTGCCCCATGCCCTCCCCTCAGGTGTGGGTGGAGCCCTGAAGTCAAACCCCAGCTCCACCAGTGGATTCCTGTGTGCCTGGCATGTCACCTGTCCTAAACACTGTGTCAGGGTCAGCAAAGCTCATCAGCCAACAGCCAAGTTTCTGAGTCTTATGTCCTTGGAGGTGGATGAACAGCGGGGCCCACAGGGGCAGAGATAAGGGCTGGGAGGGCAGTGAAAGTCCTTTGGTATCCCTTGGATGTGGCTCTCCCAGGGATTTCCTGGCCAGATTGTGGGCACCCAGAAGCCTGCCGGGAGCAGGGCACCGAGTATTCACTTCTGAGGCAGGAAGTCCACTGCAGATGAGAACAGTCGGCCCTCTATCTCCTCGCCAGGACCCTGGGTGAGTCTATGGACCCTGGTTTCACAATCTGTAAATGGTGGAGCAGCAGTGACACCTGCTGAGCACCCTCTCTGTGCCGAGAGCACCCTGGCTTGTTCTGCTGGATACGTAGGACTGCTGTCCCCATTCATGGGGAGGAGACAGGCCAAGTGCCAGGGTTCACTGCCCAATCAGATGCCAAGAACTGCCTTGTGGGTCCCAAAGAGTCAGAATCACACTGTGTAGATCTCACTGCACAAATGAGCCCACTGACCTCAAAAAGAGCCTTTCGAGAAGCCTGAGAACTGGGGTTGTGGCCTGCAGAGGCCCTGCAGGGCCTAGGACCCTCTAGACTTCTGCTCCGCCCGGAAGCCCCAGTCTCTTCCTCACCTCTTAGCAGGGCCGATGACCACAGCTGCACTGACATGTCTGGGATCTTGCTGGCCAGCTGCATGGCGGGCACCACCATGTTGTTACTCTCCTGTTGACCAAGAGCAGCAGAAGAGTCAGGGGTGGGGTGGTGGCATGGAGACTGGGGGCAGGGACAGCTTGGGCCCACCTGTGACCTCCCGCTGCCTGGCAAATACCTACTCCTATTATACAGTCTATTTCAAATGACCCTCTCTGAAAGTATTCCTCAACTACCTTGGGGGAAAAGAAACAGCTCCCACTCCTTGGCTCCGCATGTGCCTCCCTGCTGGGGCACAGTCATGGGCGACTCTATGTACCTTTGTCTTTCTAACCAAAGAAAAAGGCACTGGTGGCAGGCAGCCCTGGACCCATCTCAGGAGCCGATTAAAAATACAGATTCAGGGGCTTCCCTGGTGATCCAGTGGTTAAGAATCTGCCTGCCAATGCAGAGGACATAGGTTCAGTCTCTGGTCTGAGAAGATCCCATATGCCACGAGGCAGCTAAGCCGGTGCCACAACAGTTGAACCTGCCCTCTGGAGCCCAGGAGTTATAACCACTGAGCCCATGGGCCTGAGAGCCGACACTCTGCAACAAGACACCACCGTAACAGGAAGCCCGCTTGAGGCAGCTAGAGAAAGCCTGTGCACAGCAACGAAGATTCCATGTAGCCAAAAATGAATAAATAAACAAAAGTAAATTTAAAAATAAATACAGATTCAGGGGTCTCAGGGCTGGGAAGAGGCAGCAGTCTGTCCTGGTGGGAGCAATTAGGACTACTGGTCAAAAGAGAGAAGAATTTTGTTTTTCTACATACGAGCCTGCTCCTGTGGAAGGCCACTTCAGACACATGGGGCTGTGGGGCACCAGCATGTGTTCATTCTTGAACCCTGACTCCACAATGCAGCTGCAACAGCACCATCCCTCACCCCTCAGGGTGAGCTGAGTGAAAGCTGCTGGGGGCTGTAAACACCCATCCCTGACTCTGCAATGCCTCCACCCAGTACAGGATCCATAGCCTACTGGCCTAAATGTTGGGATCAGGGTGACACTGGGAGAGCTCCTCATGTGGCAACCATGTGCAGTGTGGGGGGGGACAGTTGGCATGTAGCTCAGAGACACATAAATCCTCTAAACCAACTCCTGAGGCCCAGGTCCAACACAGCCACAGTTGTGTGGGGTGCGCCTCCACAGACACAAAAGCCCAGTGACTTCATGCTGCCCACCCTGGCCAGCACCTCTAAGATAAGCTCCAGGTGGGTCTCAAAAATTTTTTTCAAAATTGAACCAAGGCCTCCTAAGACCTCAGAATGCAGAACAGGAAAAACTAGTCTCCTCCTCCAGGCCTGGGGCCGAGAGGGAGCTGCTGGGAGGGAGAGTCCCCTTGGCTCCAGTTCCCCACGACAGCTCGGTTTCCGCAGATCCTGGGTGTGAAGACTGGTGTTATCCTGAGAGGGGTCCTGCATGAGGCCACCCACAAACTTTAATGCCCAGGTATGCTGTGGCTTGGCAGGCCCAGGCCAGGTGGCTTCTCCCACAGATCTAGTGCTGCTTGAGGTGGTGCCTGGCTTTGGGGGCTCTTGATAGCCCCAGGAAGCAAGAGAGGTTTCCAAATAAGCTCTGTAATTTGCTCCGGGACTGCCCCCCTCCCCCCCACCAGAAGCTGTAGCTAAAGAGCTGCTCTGCCCACCCTGCCCCACTGAAGGTGGCTTCTGGAAGCTTCTGGACAAACAACCATCAGCAAGGTCTAGGTTCTAAGCCTGGGTCCGCAGTTTGGGGCTGTGTGACATTAAACTCCTCAGCTGGCAATGAGGTAATCACCACCACTGCACCGAGACACAAGGCGGGCAGCCTGAACTCAGGGGGGTGTCATGTTGAGCCCCTCATCCCTGCCCAACCCCGGGATGCGCCCTGAGGCCACTGTTCTCCCTGTGCTCCCTGAGTACCACGACAAGGTGTTCTAGGAGTGGAGCTACGCTCAGAAGGAAGAACCCACTGCTGACCCTCCTTTCAGGGTATTGATCCTGCCAGGGTTCAGGACATAGCTGCAGGGCCTCGCCTCGCAAAATGCTTGTCACGTGATTGTGGGGAGGGGAGATGCACTGGGCTTATTAAAAACACTCATTCTTTAGAAGCTCTGGGGTTTGATCAGATAAAACTTTATGGCCTGCATTCCCTGTCCTGAAAACAGCTAAAGTGAGTTCAGCTATACCACTGAACTGATGCCACTTAAAAATTCTCACTGCCATTAAAAAAACCCAACACAGTGGTGCAGAGAAAGACCAGACATAAAATTATAAAACAGCCTGATAAAACTTAGGCTTGGACAGAGGCAGGCAATGAAAAGAGCTGGAAGACACAAGACACGTGAGGATTTTCTCCTTTGCTTCTCAGACTTTCTAGGATAACCATAGCATCTTTTATACTGATAAACATGTTCTTAAAAAATTAAAGAGCTTGTAAGGTCAATGGGTTGGGGTAGGTGAGATGTTCAAACACCCCCAGATGGGGAGACTGAGAAGTCAACTGATCCCACCTGAGACCAGATGGCATGGGTGGGGGCCAGGCGCAGGGAGACACGGCTGGTGAGGGTAAACACAGGGCACCCTGAGGATACCGTGTGTGACGGGCAGAAGTGGAATCCCTGCGATTGTGGCTGAGAGGACGCACCTCTCAGCCCCACATACTGACACAGGGGAGGGGCCCTGCCCTCAGCCTCGCCAGCTCCGGGACGTCTGAGCAGCTCTGGCCCCACTGAGCCCTGGCCTTGCTTGACAACTGCCAGAGGCCGACACTGGCCCTGTCTGCCACGGAGGTGCACCCTTCAGGAGCTCAAAGCTCCTTCAGCCCTGCCTGCCCAGGCCGTCTGAGCCTCAGGGAGCAGCAGGGTGCGGGTGGGGGGTTATGGGGGTGAGAGGTCACTGAGATAGGATCACTGCAGGGCACGGGATGGAGGCACTTTGCTAGGTGCTCCCCTCACCCACCTCCACCCCACTGAGCACCACCCTGGCCCTATGCCCCTCAGCCTGGCCCCCGACACTCACCCTATGGTTTCCCAACACATAGAAGATGTGGCCTAGGAGCACGAGGGAGCAGGCTGTGAGCCGATTCAGGTCCTCTGCATTGGACATCTTCAGGGTTTCCCGCAGAAAACGCCTTTGTGAGAAGAAGAGATGCTGAGGCCCCACTGGGAAGGCTTTCGGGGAAGAAAAGGCAGCAGTGGCCTTGGGGCCCTGAGCAGAGACCACCTGGGGGAGGGTGGGGAGGGCAGGAACAGGGGGCCTGGGCACGTGCTGTTGGGGGAAGAGAAACATCGAGCGGTGCCAGGTACAGGGCCACCTGCCCTCTCCAGTACTTACTTGGCCTCGTTATAGCGTCCCTGGAAGAAGGAGAAGAGCCCACGCACGTAGAAAGCTGCTGCTCGGAGGCAGTGTGAGCTGAGGGGAGAGTGGGGCGTCACACCTTAGTGAGTTTTAATGAAAGCAGCAGATTTACAAATGAGGACTGGGTGGGAGGATGGGAGGTGTTGGGGTACACAGGCAATCTGGGGCCCCACAGATGCTCACACTACCTCAAGAGCAGAGAAGGCATAAGAAAGTTGGTAAAGTGGGATTTGGGGCCTGGGGCTGCCTACCTGACAGGGAAGCTGTGGTCTGGATTGATCCTCTCCAGCAAACTGTACAGCTGTGAAAGAAATGTCTGCAAGTTAGGATAACTCTGCATTTCTAAAAATGAGAAGGTCTGGCCCCAGTATTCCAGTAAATGACTAGGGCTGCCTGCAACTTCCTAACCCAGTCTCATGGCATATGGCCGTACCTCAAATCCCATGACTGAGAGCAACCTGCTGGAAGGGACAGAACCTGCAACGTTGCTGACATCTTAAGCTCCCTCTGGCTGATGTAAGGAGGGGAAGGTGGGTTGGGGGATGAGGGCTGAAGCGGGCTGTGGCTGTGCCCAGTACCCCCGTAGTCCCTTCAGGAGGCAAACACTGTGGTGGGGGTGGAGGTGAGACAAAGGGAGCCAAACTCCTCTGAGACCCACCAAGATCACATCAGGCCCTCAGGACCCTGCCCTGCTGTGCTCTCAGGCCACTGGAGCAGCTGGACTGGGCCTTCTGCCCAAAGCATTCAAACCAACCAAATATGTGTGACATCAGCTGAGGACAGGGCCATCTCTCTTTGTAGCCAAGAGATGACAGTGGCCTGAACTACAAAATGAAGGTCACAGGCATGCAGTTCAGTGGCTGATCTGAGACACGCCAGAGGGCTCCAGGCTGGAGGGAAATGGCAGGGCTAAGGAGGTGTCACACGGGAAACCAGGTGGGAGGTACTTATCCTGGGGGGCAAGCTCTGGCGCCCGCCTCCCTGCTCCAGCAGGCTGGGGCACCAGAACACCTAGGGGCCTGATGCAGACAGGACCCAAGGTGTCACTCCTCGTAACTGAGCCAAGAGGCCTCACTGACAGCCAGCCAGAACAGATAGCTGAGGGTAGAAGAAATTTTCTTTTTTCCCCAAGGGATTCAATGCTTGGCTAGTTTTCAGTAGAGAGAACTGAAAACGTTACTATGGAAACGTTTCTGTCTTAGACTTGGCCTCTCCCCAGCCACACCCATGCTCCACTCGGTGGGACACTTTGTTGGAAGACAAATACCCTAGGGTCGAGAGATTTGCTGGTGCCCAGGACCACACTTCCCACACACCCCCCTCCAAGTAAGAGTTGAAAGAAAGGATACCAAACATGAAGCATGTCACCTACTACCTCTTGGTGTCTATTTCCTTCCCGTATATACACACTCGCCAGGTTGGTCACGATGAAGGCCCACAGCTCCTGGTGATTGGTGAGCTGGAATATGGGAGACACAGGGCATTAGGGGGCCAGGCTGGGCACAGTCATGTCACTTGGGGGTCGCTTGGCGGCATCACAGCCACCCAAACGCTCCACAACAGCTACCTTGGAATCTTCTTACTCTTTTTATTCCAAACACACATACATACCCCTGCCTCCTGAACCTAAGGACAACAAAATTGTTAGTTCTTGTCATTATAAAACAATCATCTGCATTATAGGAAACTCAGGAAACAGAAAAGCGCAGCCAGCCACCCCAGAGCCTGTCCTCAGAACACGCCACAGTTTGCTCTGTTCTCGGCTGTCTCAGTCTGAGCACCTGGGTGCCCCGCCCCCACACCTCAGGTGGCCACCCCAGGACCCCAGGGTGTGTAAACACAGCAGAGGAGCATGCTTGCTGGTTCCTCTGCTAATGGCTGGCGGTAGACAGATCACCGTCCCCCGTTTTTCTGGGGGAACGAGAATGGCCACGAGAGGAACCAATCTAAGTGGTTTGAGCACTGCTCAGACCTTGTGGGGCGGAGCATTCTAAACGGGGCTCAGTGAGTGCAACTGTGTAAGAAGCCGAGAGTGTCTATGAAGCACAAACCCCACCTGGAGGACCCTGGTAGGAGCCAAGGAGATCCAGCGGGCTGTCTGATCTGAGCAAAGATGCTCCAGTGTTTGTCACAGGACCACAGGAAATATGTTTGGGGTCATGAGGGGCCGGGATCCAAGTTCTGGTTGTACCACGTCCCCCCCAGGTTGGTGGACAGGACCCCTGGTGGCACACACCATCTGCTGGGAATTTTGATGTTGAAACAAAGCAGCAGCAGCAACTTGTGTAGGAAGTGGGATACAGAAGGTGTGTCTAAGAGACCTTCAGAGGGCCACAGGCAATGAGAGGAGGTCTCAGCACCACTGGAGTGAGCGGCACCAGGGCCCAAGTAGCTGGGACACAAGTCAACATCACCTGGTGGACCACTGGGAGGACTGGGAATCCTCAAACTGGCTAACCAGGGCATGTCCAGCTGGTGCCTGGCTCAAGACAACCTCCTTGAGGCTGCCCTCCTGAGTTAGCTGGGGAAGCCGCACCCCAGTGTGGCCAGGAGCCCCCTTGCCCACAGCTATCCTGCACCAGGCTGTGCTGCCAGTGCTGGCCTGTCCATACCCGGGTGGCATAAGGCCTGACAAAGGAAGCCCTGGATAAATGGCACAGCACAGTCGCAGCTGGCACCAGGCTGGACGCTGCTGAGTCACCCACTGACCACAGTTTGTGTGGCTGTTGTTCCGACTCCTTACTGAGAAACACCTCCTGCCCCATAAAGTGAGGGCCGGCACCTTACCCGCAAAGCTGTGGTGAACTGGGCTTCGGCGTTGTCCATGCAGTTGACAGAGACACAGTACAGGCCCTAGGAGAAGACAGTGCCCAGGGCTCAGAGCCACATGCAGCCTGCCTAGGGTTGCACAGCTGCACCCAGGCAAGCCTGACTAGAGACTCGACTGAGACAGCTGTATCTGAGCTTTACCCTGACAAATGGAGGGGAAGATGGCATGCTTCATTATTTCTGCCTCCTGGGACCTGAGTTAACTTGGACTTGATGAGACGCTTGTCAGAATGAAGTCCAATGGGAAGGTTCTAAGACCTGCCTGGGGTGTTGGCCACAGGGCTACTCACAGGGGTGGGGCTGGGGGCGGGCAGCCCTCATGCACTCACCAGCAGTGTATGCAGCTGTGCGGCGTGGTTGGAGAAGAGCCGGGGTGACTGCTGGCACAGCTGACAGACCTGGGAGATCTGCAGGGAGAGCATGTCTGACATCACTGTAATGTGGGACCCAGGACCCTGGCAGCATTGAGAAGAGGCCCCCAAAGCCAGTGGGGGTACCCACATACTACCCAGTCTAACCTGGGCATAAAATCCCAGCAGCTGTGCCCACTGTGAGGATGTTGACCCTTGTCTGGTTCTCCGCCTCCTCCCTTTGCAACCAGTGTCTTAGTCATATAGTACCTACATCCTTATCAAAGTCCCCATGCCTTTTCAGGAAGGTGGGCATCAAGGATTACAATCATTAGGCAGGAGGGGTGCTAGAACTGCCATCAGCAGACTCGAAAACCCCAGACCCTATGTTCCTTGGGCATAAAAACTTTTAGGTTAAAAACCTCTGATTATGTCCATTAAGGCTCATGGATGACCAGGTTACGTTCTCCCAAGTGACACCCTGAGGACCCAGCAAATTCAAACGCCCCCACCCCCCCGCCCCGCCTCCCTGCCCTGTGTGCACGCGGGCCCCCGGCGGCCTACCTCCTGCAGCGCGGTGGCCTTGTGACCTGTGACGAGCCGGCACATGATGATGTGCTCCAGCAGGATCACTTGGAAGGAGGACAGAATGGGGCTGCAGTCGAGCACTGGGGGCGAGAGGTGGGCGTGAGCCCTCGAGGTGCAGGAGGAGGAGACCGCCGAAGAGACACTGACCCACGCCCCTGCCTCCTGCAGGCCTCGAGCCCTCCTGCCACACCAGCCCCTCAGCTAGCTACCTGCGTCTGAGCCCACTTGCTCTGCGAGGCACTGGCCTAGCACCCAATCTGCCACCTTACTTGGTGCCCACAGCACCCTCAAGCAAGGGGGTCCATCTCCCTGTCCAGGTGAGGAATCAGGTTCATAGCCAGGTTTTGGTGACTAGATATTTTAAGAGTAAGAAATTCTTAAAGGGATCTGTCTTCCATCCTCAACCTGCACCCCTGCCCCGACCCAGCTGAGTGCTCAAGGGCACACTGGGTACCACAGGTTCTAGAAATGCCGAGGTTGCCTGGGAGACTATGCAACAAGCCTCAGACAACAGTGGCGGGGGCGGGGGGGGGACCACAACTTCTGGCTGTTCCAAGAGGCTGTGCTCACACTGGAACCAGACAGCACTTTCCCAACTCATCTGAAAGAAAAGAACAGTAGTTCCTGCGAAATTTGGCTCTCTGGCTCCTCCCCTGCAGCACTGACAAGGACGCAGGGAGTGAATAGGGTGAACGGGGCACAAGCCAGCCAGGGACACGTGGGGCTCTACGGTTCCCACTAATCAAAGGTCCTCAATTACCCAGGATGGATTAGTTAAGCACCCAGAAGAACCTAGGACCCCCAGAGGATCTGCTGTCAGTCAAGTTCCAATTCCTATCTCACCCTGAGCACAATCCACATTACAGTACTGATAACGGACAGCAAAAGCAGCCACCGCCTCTTTCAGCTGAGCACTGCTGTCCCTGCAGGTTCCGGTGGAGCCCCACTAACCCTCATGACTATCTGTGCAGTGAGGGCGATAGGACAGAGATGCTACAAGTACTCACCCAACCTCCCTGGGGAGCAAGGATCCCGTCCAGGCCTGGCATGGCTCTGCCTGAACCTGATCATCCCTATCTGCCAACTGGGGTACAAGACCTATGGGGCGGAGACCCATGCTGCAGTCTTTCAAAGTCCTCCAGGCCCAGCACTGGCAGCGATGGGCGGGCTGTCCACCAGGGGGCTACTGACTCACTGGGCCCCACAGAGCCTGACTTACTCTTGAGCTTCTCCAGCTGCATGAGGGCCTTGTCCGTGTACTTCTGCGCCTTCTCTAGATAGCCTGCTTGCATGGAGTGCATCACAGTCACCTGATGACAAGGTCAGATGGTGGTGGTCACTGAGGCCCTCTCCTCTCTCACCTGGGCCGCCAGGCTCCGGCCCCTCAGGGACTCACCAGGTAGACAAGCACGCACATGTGCTCCTTGGGCAGCCAGTGGAAGAGGTCAGCGGGGTTGCTGGGTAGGATCTCGTCATCGTGCAGTGTGGAGATGGTCTGAATACACTGCTGCAGCTGCTTCAGGCATGGCTTCACGCTCTTTACCTGCAGCAGGCAGACAGCACTGCACAGCTGACCACCCATCTGCTCCTATCAAGTGCCAACACCCTTAAGAGACAGGTCCCCACAGTGGCAACTAGCCAGGTCCTGCCTGCCTTGTCCCACCCCGAGGCCCTACAGGCCATCTCCACAGCTGTCAGCACCCTGTTAAGAGTCTGTTTCGATCTGTTGAGTGAAGTGCTCAGCCCAACAGGCAAAGGTGGGTGTGGGTGGGGGAACCAAGGAAGTGTGGCCAGTGGGGAGGGACAGGAGGCAATCGCAGAACTAATTTCTCAGTCAGAGGCCCATCCACCACCTGCCTATTCCCCAGCGGCCATCACGTGGGAGGCAATACACACCTGCCCAGCATCCAGGTAGTGGGTCACCTGGAGCACCAGGAAGAAGACACGCAAAGACTCTTTCTGGATGGGGTTCCCTTGCCAGTTCTCAACTATCTGTCCACAGAGGGTCAGCAGTGGGTGGACTTCCTGCAGCTTGCGCTCCATCAGCAGCAGCTGTGGGGAGAGGTGCATGTGCTGGGGACTCTCCTGGTGCACAGGGCTGCCGCCCACCTGCCCATGCACTGTGCAACTGCTGGCACCTCAAAGGGAGGGCACAAAGCCAGGCTGGAACCCAAGTCCAGGCAGCCCCAACCGAGGCGGCTCCTCCATCAGCACAAATCCCATAACCCGGACTTGGAGCTGTGTCTCTGAATCCAGCTGGGGGATGGGGGACAGGGTCTGCCTCTCATGGCTACCTGCCATGCGTGAGGGTCTGGGCAACTGATGGACCATGACATGGCAAGCAGGCGAAGCCCTGGCAGACCCTGGGAACCCAAACTCATATCCACCACACCTTACCCTGCCCAGCCTCCACTTACCATCCCTTTGCTAAGCAGGAACAGTGCCCTGGAAAAGAGAGGGGAGTCAGGTCTGGGAGGCCCAGGCAACCCCGAGGATGACTGACACCTCAACATTCACAGGGACCTAACCCCTGGGGCAGTTAGATGGATGACAATGGACCCTGGCCAGTAAGTGTGCTCTATTTTGTTCTATTTTCCTTTAACTTTTTTCTCGTTTAGGCACTCATGAGGTTCAAAAGCTCAGAAGGCAGAAACAGGGGCTCAAGAAAGCATGGAGTGAGGACTTCCCTGGTGGCCCAACGGCTAAGACCGCTGCTTTTAGGGCCAGCTGTGGGGCTGCAGGCATGCAGAGCCTGCAGGGCCCAGTTTGCTCAACATCCAAGTCTCTGTCCCGCCAGTCTGTGCAGTCCTGAGGTGCTGCAGCTGACACCCCATCAAGTGGGCATTGTTCCAGGTGAGGAGACTGAGGGCACGGGGGTCCCAGTCACACAGAGAGCTGTCTACACTCCCAGCCACCTGTCATTCTTTGTTGTCACCTCACAGCATGGACGCCCTAGGGTCTCCTGTCTGAGTGCTGAAATCTAAGGTCTAGAACTTCGTGTCAAGGCTCCCGTATTATCAGTCACTAGGCCTTGCCTCTGAGATCAGAAGCTCTGTGTCAGGAGACCTGCAGGCGCCATGCCCTGGTGAGGCCCACCCAGTTGTCTGCCCACAGTGCCACAGAGGCCTGTCCTGAGGACACTCGTCAACATGTGCAGCGTGCGGCCATCCCCACGCCGGCAAGTCTCTGGGTGCCACCCAAACCCAGTAACGGCCGCAGTGTGAGGAGGGCAACGCGGGCCAGGCCGTGCGAGTGTGCATCCCAGGGCAGGGTGGCAGAGGGGTGCAAGTCTGCGGGGGGCTGTGTGGGCCCCTGTGAGCACTTGCAAGTCCAGAGCTCAAGAGAACAGGCTTAGGAACTGTTCTGTCCCAACAAGCCCACGGGACAAGCTTAGAGTCTGTGGTACAGAATTTTTCACAATCCCCACACACACACAACAGAGTAATAGCACTGCTACCAGGAGTCTGGAATTCTACTACAGAGGATTCTTCTCTTCGGGGTAAAAAGAGATTTCAGGCCCTCTAAGAAGGCACACGGTGAGGCACTGGTGGCCTCTGACCCCTGACCCCAACCCCAGGGCACTAGCCTCCAGGTAGTTTAAGCAGCTTCATGCATAATACGAACCTATGTCCGGTCTTTGACACAAATGTCCTCTTACTCTGTCTCCTATTATATACCTAAACACTCCTGGGTGTGCTGAGTGGGGACACTGGCTGCCAACCATGCTGCCCACAGTATCTACAAGGACCACTCTCACATCCCACCAGGAAGTGGATCAGCCCAGCAAATTCACGAGCCCTTTTTATTTCAAGAGATGCTAGAAATATGCAAGTGCTCACAGTGCTGAGAATGCCAGCTGCCCCTCACCCTCACAGTCAACACAACAACTTCTTACTTCATGAATCGATGGGGCAACAGCATCTCTGGGCTGCCTGAATTTGCGTGTCTCTTACTATGAATAAGGGTGGTCATCGTTTCACGCTGAAATGCCATTTCTGTTTGCTGTCCAGGACCAAGGTGACCAAACTTTTCCAAGTGAGCGAAGAAAGGGCCCAAGGAGAGGGGGCCTACCGTGTGTACTCAGATCCCACCACCCGGGCGTACTCGGCTCCCACACCCAGGAGGTCGCAGGCCGACACCAGGTCCTTCTCAAGTGTGTGCAGTTGCTGAGAGAAGGAAAAAGAGCAATGACCCTCACTTTCAAACCACCAGACTTACCGTGTCTGACCTGCTACCTTGCAAGCAAGTTACACAAAACCTCCCCACATCAGCAAAACTGCCTCAGTATCCGCTCTGAGCTAGATTAAGCATGCTGCCTCGCCAACACTAGTTGCTCTGGGCACAGAACCCCGCCTCGCCTCCAGCTCAACGGCGCAGAGAGCCAGCAGGAACGCCAGCGGGCTCAGGCCCGAGGGCCACGCGACACGCCTGCATGCTTCGCAGGCCGCCTCCGGGGGCCGGCCACAGGGGAGGGCCAGAGGGGCCGCAGACAAGGAGGGCCTCCTTCAGGGGCAAGGGGCCGTGGGGGTCCCAGACGCAGGCTGACGGGCAGGGACGCCTGGGGGCCTCCCCTGAGGGCCTGGGCTCCGCTCACCGCGCCCACCTGCTCCGTGGCCTGAGCCAAGTGACTCCGTGCCCCGCCTGCTCCCTCCTCTGCCGAAAGAGACAGAAGCCACGGGAGGATTCCAGGAGGGCACATGGCGGGCAGGAGGGTGCCTGGACAGAAGGCAGCCGCTCAGGCTAGGTGAGCTCTCCTCAGCAGGGGACCCTCTGAGCCAAATCCTCCTGGCATTGACAGGCTCCCTCGGGAGCAGGTGACACTGGCAGCCCAGGCCCCACTGTGTGCACAGGCACGTAATGGGGCTTCATCACGGAGGGCTGGCAAGAAGTGGCTGGGGGGGCAGGCCGTGCCAGGGTCAGAGGAGGCTGGAGGCTGGCCAGAGACAGGGCAGTATGGGCAGAGCCAGGATGGAGAGGCATCTCCAATGAGTCTACCTGGCCTGCAGGCTCCTCCACTGCAGCCAGGAAGGCCCAGCCCAGAGAGCCGCCCACCCAACCGGCACCCGGGCATCTGGTCAGGCCCACAGTACGCACAGCGAGCTGGAAGAGCAGGCGGCAGTGCCAGTACGGGGTCTGCTGGGAAATCTGGATGGCTTTCCGCAGCAGCGGCTTTGCTGCGTCCACGGAATTCTGAAAGGAGACAGTCATGTTTAAGGAGGAAAAAACAAGCTGGATTCCTTCTGCAGCAGCTGCGGACCCAGAAGGCCATTCCCAGACACATTTACCAAAGGATCTGCTTGATTTAAGAAGAAAAGATATTTTATTAGCCTCACCGGCTGGGAAGTTTTTTACATTGATCTTAAAATAATTCCCTAGTCAACTAAACTCAAAGTAGCTTTAGTTCAAATTCCTGAACAGTCAAAATGATAATAATTACCATCTTTTCTGAACTGTAACCAGAGTGAGGGGCCAGGGGCTTGAAACAAGAGTCACCGCTCAAAGCAGAGAAAAGCAACTTTCAGTTACACTTGAGATCAGAAACCAGCTTCAGTTAAACTATGTGAACTTGGTCAGGAATTAATCATCTTCAGCCCAGGAACAAGGCTGCTTTCCAACAGTGCTCAGTAGAAAAAGACTCTGCTAGCCGTTGTCAGCGAGTGGCCATCCATGGCTGCCCTGTACCAGGTGCTCAGTTCAATTCAGCCGCTCAGTCGTGTCCGACTCTGTGTGACCCAATGGACTGCAGCACACCAGGCCTCCCTGTTCATCACCAGCACCAGGTGTGGAAGACAGGAAAATTATGCAAAGTCTTAAAAGCCAGAAGGGAATCCACTCCTATGAGTCCCAATCTGCCACCGTGCCTTCACTACAGGGAGAGAGCGTTTGCTTTCAGAAACCTTTACATGTTCTTACCTCTTGACAGTATAACTCGGACAGAAGACTTGCTGCTTCAAACTTAACATCTTCAAACTGTGGGATCTAGTGATGTCTTATTAAGGAAGTAGAGACACTACAAAATGGTCAGTTTAAAAGGGCCATAGTTCAGCATTCTTACACTGCAGAGGCTGGCTGGCTGGCTGGGCACATCCCCATCCGCTCTAAAATCTCAAGTTCACGTATTCCCCTAGTAATCCCTGAGCTTGCTGCTGGCTGGTGTGGAGCTAGACGCTGGGGCATGAAGAGGAGCACCGCACCCAGGGAGAAGCTGCTGGTCTGAAGGGATGCTCCAGGGCATCTGTGGGGCAAAGCCCAAACCCAAAGTCTGCATTATAAGCAGAATTCAAGTTTATAACACATGTTTTTATTTAGAAGGAGCTTTCCTTAAAGGGAATAGTACCAAGGAAAGGATACTTGCTGTGATATCAACCACTGAAAGAGAAAGAAAAAAAGAGTTAATTCTCGACCAGCTAAGCAGCTTTGCGCATGCTTAACTGGGTCCACTTTGGGGTTCACACGGGTTGTCCTGTCACCAAAGACTGAAGGTGTTCAGTTAAGTGAGAGCAGCCCCTAAAAGACACAGGTGGGCCAGGAGGGGGAAGTTAACAGGACTGGAGGAGAGGGACAGAGGAACTGAGAACACTGGAGAGTCTTTAGGCTCCTGTCTCTCTCTCCCATCCTCTCCCCCCCCCCCCCCCACACACACGCGCGCGCGCGCGTGCACATAGAGCCCAGGCAAAAGGCACTCTGCAACCAGACCGAGTGTGCCCTCCCCAGGCAACAAGGCCTGGAGGAGCTCAGGGTCCCCAGAGCGACATGGCCAGTGACTGCTGCCATGAGTGTGGCCCCAGAGTGAGGCTCCTTGGCTGGAGGCCATCTACAGAGACAGTGAGGACAGGCTCAGCTCCAGCCATGTGTGTGAGGTCACAAAGCTGGTAAAACAGAAGCAGGGGCTTGCATTCTACAGAAGCCACTCCTTCTCACTCAGCATTCAGCAAGAGATGCTCACTCCTGAAGGCCACCAACTGGGACGGGCAACTGGAGGATACTACGTGACTAAAAAGCTGGGTTAGGGTCATGCTAAGACCTGGTCCAACCTTGAGATTCTGATGTTCCATGACTCAGTCTCCACATGTAAGACCTGTCTGGGGCAAGGCCTTCATGCTCAAGGGGAGCCCTTTAGAGAGAGTACACGGTGGATAAAAACACACACGGGAAGCATTTGCCTTCCACCTGGAGCTCCGCGTTGCCGGGAGCCGGCACACGAGATCCCACCCATGACAAGGTCATGGGGAGAAAGTCTGACGGGCAAGGCGGATCAGGTTTTCAGGGATTCCGAAAAGCTGCCCCAAAGCTGCCCCCGGCACTCATCTTAAAGATGGTATCTGTTCTTCCAATGCTTGCTTTAATAGACTACTCCCTAATTTCTGTAACATAGGCAGAAGGCCTTCCCAGATTTCTTTCCAAATAAGAATCAATTTAGAACTTTAATCTATAAGTTTCCCAGGTGTGGTATTTTATGAGATTATTCAGGGTGAAAGGAGTGTTTCAATTTAAACTCCTTTGCTGGTAGTTTGTTAGCCAAATGCATTTATGTCCTTGGTACTAATATGCATGATTGCTTATAATATCCTAATCATAAAATAGCATAAAGAACCTGATTATATAAAAGCCCTAATAGATATAGAGCCCTTTTAAGGGGTAAAGGAGTCCTATTAGAAAACATAAGAAAAATTATTCTATAGGTGGTTACTGGGTTGAGATTTGCTTGCTGTGATTTGCTTGCTGTGTTTTTGCTTTTAATGTGCTAAGGTTGTGTTATAGAAACCATTGTTAATATAGTTAAAGATCTAGAGAAAAAAGGACTTAGCCCTAGTGTGGTAACAATGAGATGGTTGCTAATTGTCAGCCAGGAGTGCTAGGCAGAGGCTGCCTCACTGAAGCTGCAGAGTCTGTGTGGGGTAAACTTCTTAGATAAACGCAACTGACAACTTTTGCAGAAGGATTAATTTTTGTATTAACAAGAATAAAATTCTACTCTGTACTATTTCCCTATGAGACTGTTACCTTTCAGTTAAGGTCACCATAAAAACAGAAAACAGGTTTATATTCACCTGACTTGCATAAAATGTTAATAGGCCCCAAGGCCAGAAGATAATGTACAAGACCCTCATAAACAAAGAAGTACGCAGAAAACACCCTAGTTTTGTGAAGGACAAGCTGACGTAATGTTAAACCACCTTCCCCTTAGAAGTGTACTAACTCAGGGTATAAAAGCCACGGTAAAAAATAAAGCATTGCCAGACCCTGCCAGACTCTGCACCCCCCGTCTGGTCACTCTCCCTCTCTCTCCCTCTCTGTCCCTCGCAGACCAGCCCTATGAAGGCTGGCCTCGCGTGTCTTCTCTCTCTCACCGACGCCACTCACCCTGAGGGCCCCCTGGATCCTGCTGGGGCCGGGCCCCGGCACTGCGTGGCTTGCTCTGAACAACTTAGTCTGGTAGCCAAGGCAAAGCTCCCGCCACGCACAGGAGTTTCCAAGTCAGACCTAGCCACATCTCAGACCCCACAAAGCTGACTGCACCTGAGTGTCACTGCCCCTCAAGAGGTGAAGAGGGCAACAAGACAAAGTAAAACTCTTCCAGTGGACTGAAGAAGCCTTCTTTTTAAGTCTGTGGCCCAGGGATGCTCTCTTCACCCAACAAGTTCAGTTCAGTTCAGTCCCTCAGTCGTGTCCGACTCCTTGCGACCCCATGGACTACAGCACGCCAGGCTTCGCTGTCCATCACCAACTCCCAGAGACTGCTCAAACTCATGTCCATCGAGTCGGTGATGCCATCCAATCATCTCATCCTCTGTCATCCCCTTCTCTTCCTGCCTTCAATCTTTCCCAACATCAGGGTCTTTTCCAATGAGTCAGTTCTTTGCATCAGGTGGCCAAAGTATTGGAGCTTCAGCATCAGTCCTTCCAATGAATATTCAGGACTGATTTCCTTTAGGATTGACTGGTTGGATCTCCTTGCAGTCTAAGGGACTCAAGAGTCTTCTCCAACACCACAGTTCAAAAGCATCAATTCTTTGGCACTCAGCTTTCTTCATAGTCCAACTCTCACATCCATACATGACTACTGGAAAAACCATAGCTTTGACTAGATGGACCTTTGTCAGCAGAGTAATGTCTCTGCTTTTTAATATGCTGTTTAGGTTGGTCATAGCTTTTCTTCCAAGGAGCAAGTGTCTTTTAACTTCAAGGATGTAGTCACCATCTGCAGTGATTTTGGAGCCCCAAAAAACAAAGTCTCTGTTTCCCCATCTATTTGTCATGAAGTGATCGGACTGGATGCCATGATCTTGGTTTTTTGAATGCTGAGTTTTAAGCCAACTTTTTCACTTTCCTCTTTAGCTTTCATCAAGAGGCTCTTTAGTTCTTCTTCGCTTCCTGCTACAAAGGTGGTGTCATCTGCGTATCTGAGGTTATTGATATTTCTCCTGGTAATCTTGATTCCAGCTTGTGCTTCATCCAGCCTGGCATTTTGCATGATGTATTCCGCATATAAGCTAAATAAGCAGGGTGACAATATACAGCATTGACGTACTCCTTTCCCCATTTGGACCAGTTTGTTCCATATCCGGTTCTACTTGTTGCTTCTCGACCTGCACACAGATTTCTCAGGAGGCAGGTAAGGTGGTCTGGTATTCCCATCTCTTTAAGAATTTTCCACAATTTGCTGTGATCCACACAATCAAAGGCTTTGGGATAGTCAGTAAAGCAGAAGTAGATGTTTTCCTGGAACTCTCTTGCTTTTGCAGTGATCTAACAGATGTTGGCAATTTGATCTCACTGCACAAGGCACACTCCAGATCCAGAGGTGAGGACAGCCCACAGAACACTATGGCCACGGTGGCAGACTGAGAAGGGACACAGCGAGCTGCCCACTGCCCGACGAGGGCACCGCCACGCCTGCTTCTCCAGCGTCCTGGCCTATGCCGCCAGGCCCAGGCCTGCCCAGGCCCATCAGATGTCTCCTCATGTAGAGCTTTTGTGCGCTCAGCATCTATTCAGTAGACACTCAGGCTGGACTCCACTGACACCTCTTTTCTCCGAGCCGGATGTATCAGTGATCAGTTTCTGTCTCTGCCGGTTCTCTCTTTTCTGATCTAAGGGCTGGAGAAAGAGCATCACACCCCTCTGGGGCCTCGAGTGACCACCAGGAGAGCCAGGAGGTAAGACGTCCAAAGGTTTAAGACACACATCTTCTGGAAGGCCTTGTCTGTCAGCGTAAGAGGATGTCAGGAGTACTGCTCTTGGAGCCAGAGGATGACGTTTGAGACGTGGACCCCCGTGGGAGTCAGCAATGCTCCAAGTCCTGGAGGAGACAAATCCTGGTGGTCCTTAGCATCCATTTCCCAGAGCCACGGCCTGCCACTGTTCTCCCATGCGTGCACTGTGGCCCTGCCCCACACACAGATGAGGGGCGCTAGATAAAGCCCCACAATGTTCCTCATCATGCGTCCCCAGTGCTAAAACAGGCTGACACATGGGAGGTTCTCAGGAAACATTTGATGCACAAATGATGACTTTATCTAGCATCACCAGGAAATGAGGGCTTCCTTCTGTACAAAAAGCCACAGAACTGAGGCTTATGCCTTATAAACACAAAATTCTACTACTAAATGGCATCAAGACATCTCGTCTTCAAACGTCACCGCTTCTTGCTCAGGCATCACTGTCAGTGACACCTTGAGCTGTACCCATGAGATGACCCATTCCTGAAGCTGTAGGACAGCTCCATGTCAAGGTGAGCCAGTCATTTCCTAAGGCTTGTCAGTCAGAAGTCAATCAAATCACTCTGCTTTTGTGTCTTTTTAAACCTTGCAATATACATTCATAATCAGAAATCTATAGATATTATTATAGGAAATATATCCATGTCACAAATACAAGTATGTAGGATACCTTACCCAAGGTTGCTACCTCATCATATGTTTTACTTTGTAACATTAAAATACAGTTTTTATATTTTCTCCCTTGACATGGGAAAGCAGCCAAAGAGCCCCCTTCACTGCCAGGGAGCCTGCAGGCGTGAGGCAGAGAGGTGAATGATTCCACCAGAAGCCTCTGGGGTCACCTTAGGGTTCTCAGGGAAAGCAAGGGTCACCACAGGGCCAGCATGCACCCTGAGGGGGTGGAAGGACTGGGATCAGCAAACCTCTCATTCCTTAGAACATTCACTTCAGAGTTGAGAGTGGGTTTTTTGTTTGTTGTTTTCTTTTTAAATTTCTGAGCACCTAAGTTTATTAGAGGGGATTACACATGCAAATAACAGAATCTGGCCCCCCACTGGCCCCCCAAAATATGGAATGTTCATGTATTTATTTGTCATCCTTGCACAAGGGTGATGCTTATCTTCTCTGTATCACTCTAAGTTTAGT